AAAGGGGAACACATATGATGACCTGGCTGGGGGGCTGAGTCATGAAGAGGAGCCTGTGGTTCTTGGAGTGAGAGGGGTCTGGAAGAGACAACGCCAGGGAGAGGGCGCAATGCCTGTCCGGAGCTAATCCCCAGGAAAGACAGCAGGAGGCACCACCAGCAGTGAGTGAACCCCCTGAGAGGGATATTATCCTATCTAATCTCAGCCTGCTTTTATTTTGTCTTCATGAGACAGTAATGCTGAGGAACTTTTACTATTTTCCCTCTCTACACTTAGCAAAATGGAAAAGGGGTTTAATTTTCCTTGTTGCTTGGTTCTTTATAAACCAGCCCAGTCCCTGTTTTGCCAACTTACTCTATATTTCTCACTCGAAGTAAAATAGCCAACACCATTCAGCTGAATGTGAGAATCCCTAGACTCATGCCATGGCTGTGCTAGGGTCTGTCCTATTTCTCTTGATTACCATTATCTCTAGTTTAGCACACTCATGCTTTCCTAAAGACCCCTCTTTCAGTTGTCAGGATTCCAACTGCTTGCCCTGAAAGCATCCACTCAGCACCATCAAACTAGAGGCATACAAGCAAATGCTGAAGGAGAGCAGTGACTGCTGCAACACAAATATGACTGCCCAATTGACCTTTAGCCAGGAACCAAAATCACCTTTTCCAAACAAGTGCTTCAAGTCCTTCATGTCTATCTGCAAAAGAATCTGCAGAAGGGATTTATCCAACCGTTCATATCTCCACTTGGGGCCCCATCTCTGTGTGTGTTTTTTTAAAAGGATGATTTCCTGAGGTCCTACATTGACTACTGGGGCCTCAATATAGTGACAGTTTGGAACCATTACCTGCTTCCCCTCATTAATGAACTCATAGACTGATTACACTCTGCCGATTTTGTGGGGCCAGTAACTGGTGTGGGTGAAAGAAGGAGATGAGTGGAAAATGGCTTTCCAAACCCAGCATGAACACCTTGAATACTTGGTCATTCCATTCAGTCTGTTTAATGGTCCCATGTCTTTCCAACACTTTATCGGTGACATTTTCTGGGACATGGTGGATTAATTCATTATTATCTATTGTGACTTCATCCTTATTTTTCAAGCAACCATGCACAGAACACCCAGCATGTTTGGAGTGTCTTATAAAGGCTTTACCAATGCTGCCTATAGGCCAACCCAGAGAAATGCTAGTTTGACAAAGACACAGTAGAGTTTCTGAGATACATCAGTTCCCCTGAAGTTTGGCCATCGACTCAGACAAAGTGGCAGCCATCACTGACTGGGTAGTGCTGAGGGACATCCAGGGGCTGCAATAATTTTTGGGCTTTGCCAATTTCTACATATGGCTCATCCACAGTTTCTCAGGGTGGTCAACCCAATCACAGCCCTCTTAAAGAAAGTATCCTATTTTTTTTTTTTTTGTCCCAGGAGGAACCAGTGGCTTTTGAATGCATCACTGTCCCCATTTTTGTTCATAGAATCATAGATTCTTAGAAGATTAGGGTTGGAAGAGACCTCAGGAGGTCATCTAGTCCAATCCCCTGCTCAAAGCAGGACCAACCCCAACTAAATCATCCCAGCCAGGGCTTTGTCAAGCCAGGCCTTAAAAATCTCTAAAGATGGAGATTCCACCACCTCCCTAGGTAACCCATTCCAGTGCTTCACCACCCTCCTAGTAAAATAGATTTTCCTAATATCTAAACAAGACCTCCTCTAATGCAATTTGAGACCATTGCTCCTTGTTCTGTCATCTGCCACCAGTGAGAACAGCCTAGCTCCATCCTCTTTGGAACCCACATTCAGGTAGTTGAAGGCTGCTATCAAATCCCCCCTCACTCTTCTCTTCTGCAGACTAAATAAGCCCAGTTTCCTCAGCTTCTCCTCATAAGTCATGTGCCCCAGCCCCTTGATAATTTTCGTTGCCCTCCCCTGGACTTTCTCCAATTTGCCCACATCCTTTCTGTAGTGGGGGGCCCAAAACTGGATGTGATAATTTAGATGTGGACTCACCAATGAAAAATAGAGGGGAATAATCATGTCCCTCGATCTGCTGGCAATGCTTCTACTAATGCAGCACAAAATGCCGTTAGTCTTCTGGGCAACAAGGGAACACTGTTGATTCATATACAGCTTTTCATCCACTGTAATCCCCAGGTCCTTTTCTGCAGAACTGCCGCATAGCCAGTCGGTCCCCAGCCTGTAGCAGTGCATGAGATTCTTCTGTCCTAACTGCAGGACTCTGCACTTGTCCCTGTTGAACTTCATCAGATTTCTTTTAGCTCAATCCTCCAATTTGTCTTGGTCACTCTGGACCCTATCCCTACCCTCCAGCGTATCTACCTCTCCCCTCAGCTTAGTGTCATGTGCGAACTTGCTGCGGGTGCAATCCATCCAATCATCCAGATCATTAATGGAGATGTTGAACAAAACTGGCCTCAGGACCAACCCCTGGGGAACTCCGCTTGATATCGGCTGCCAACTAGACATCAAGCCGTTGATCACTACCCATTGAGCCCGACAATCTAGCCAGCTTTCTATCCACCTTATAGTCCATTCATCCAATCCATACTTTAACTTGCTGGCAAAAATACTGTGGGAGACTGTATCAAAAGCTTTGCTAAAGTCAAGATATATCACATCCACCACTTTCCCCATATTCACAGAGCCAGTTATCTCATCATAGAAGGCAAGCAGGTTGGTCAGGCATGACTTTCCCTTGTTGAATCCATGTTGACTGTTCCTGATCACCTTCCTCTCCTCCAAGTGCTTCAAAATGGATTCCTTGAGGACCTGCTCCATGATTTTTCCAGGGATTGAGGTGTGGCTGACAGCTCTATAGTTCCCAGGATTCTCTTTCTTCCCTTTTTTAAAGATGGGCACTATATTTTCCAATTGTCCGGGACCTCCCTTAGTTGCCACAAGTTTGCAAAGATAATAGCCAATGGCTCTGTAACCACATCAGTGAACTCTCTCAGCACCCTCAGATGCATTGCATCTGGCTCCATGGACGTGTGCATGTCCAGCTTATCTAAATAGTCCTTAACCTGTTCTTTCACCACTGAGGAATACTCACCTCCTCACCATACTGTGCTGTTTGGTGGAGCAGTCTGGGAGCTGACGATGTCTATGAAGACCGAGGCAAAAAAAGCATTGAGTACTTCAGCTTTTTCCACATCATCTGTCACTAGTTTGCCTCCCCCATTCAGTAAGGATCCCACACTTTCCCTGACCTTCTTGTTGCTAACATACATGTAGAAAGCCTTCTTTTTACCCTTCACATCGCTGTCTAGCTGCAACTCCAATTGTTCTTTGGCCTTCCTGATTACACCCCTGCATGCTCAACAAATATTTTTATACTCCTTCCTAGTCATCGGTCCAAGTTTCCACTTCTTGTAAGCTTCCTTTTTGTGTTTAAGCTCACCGAAAATGTCTCTGTTAAGCCAGGCTGGTCGCCTGCCATATTTGCTATTCTTTCTGCACAATGGGATGATTTATTCCTGCATCCTCAATAAGGCTGCTTTAAAATGCAGCCAGCTCTCCTGGACTCCTTTCCCCCCTCATATTAGCCTCCCAGGGGATCCTGCCCATCAGTACCCTGTGGGAGTCAAAGTTTGTGTTTCTGAAGTTCAGGGTCCGTATTCTGCTGCTCTCCTTTCTTCCTTTTGTTAGGATCCTGAACTCAACCATCTCATGGTCACTGCTGCCCAGGTTGCCACCTACATCTACTTCCCCTACCAATTCTTTCCTCTTTGTGAGCAGTAGGTCAAGAGGAGCACAGCCCCTAGTTGTTTCCTCCAGCACTTGCACCAGGAAGTTGTCCCCAACACTCTCCAAAAACTTCCTGGATTGTCTGGGCACTGCTGTATTGTTCTCCAAGCAGATGTCAGGGTGATTGAAGTTCCCCATGAGAATTAGGGCCTGTGATCTAGAAACTTCTGTTAGTTGTCTGAAGAAAGCCTCGTCTACCTCATCCTCCTAGTCTGGTGGTCTGTATCAGATACTCACCATGACATCACCCTTGTTGCTCTCACCTCTAAACTTAATCCAAAGACTCTCAACAGGCTTTTCTCCAGTTTCATACCTAGGCCTGTGCCAGCCATTTATGGCAGAAGTGGATGCCTTGAACTTCACACTGTGAACAGTCCTCTCTCAAACAAAAGCATTTGATGGTCAGCTTCACCCGTGTGTCTTTTACTCACACAGACATGCGTCAGTGTAGCAAAACTCTGACATCCTTGATAAAGAGCTACTGGCCATCAAAGCAGCCTTTAAGGAATCACATAAGACTGGAAGGAACCTCGAGAGGTCATCTAATTCAGTCCCCTGCACTCATGGAAGGACTAAGTATTATTTAGACCATCCCTGACAAGTATTTGTCTAACCTGCTCTTAAAAATCTCCAATGATGGAGATTCCACAACTTCCCTAGACAATTTATTCCAATGATTAACCAACTTGACAGGAAGTTTTTCCTAATGTTCAACATAAACCTTGCTGCAATTTAAGCCCATTGCTTCTTATCAAAGTTATCAGAATGTATCTTCCAATTTCCATTAATCATTGCCATATGTATATAATATTATTTCTTTTGCTGAGGGCTAACTAAGGCCAATGTACTACTCAAATTCTACCTCATCCTTATTTTAGAAAGCACATACCATATTCAAATAAATGATTTACAGTTTATTAAAATAATAATTTGATTAGTCACTAACAGGGCATTCTGGGAAGGGGCATGCAAATATCTTTTTCCATGAACTAGACACTTAGTAACAGGATAGATGCCAGATTTGAATCTTCATGAAATGACCTGGCTATATATGAACAACAGATGAAACTCAATTTTCATTCTGCTTTTGAAACTGTACTAAAAGGACTTATTTTATATATCCATGAGACGGACATGAACTACCTTCTAAACCAAGCCTTCTGATCTGATGTCTTCTAAAACCAGTCTTCTGAAAAGTCACAAGAACTGAGCTACAAACTAAGAATTAATGATGAAAAAATATTTAGCTCCTGCTGTTATTTTTTATCTGATCATCTTAGCAATAGAATTATCAGCAGGAGTTGTTACAAATGGATATATTGTTGCCTTAAATTGTATCAACTGGGCCAAAAGCAGAACACTGACTTCCTATGATAAGCTCATAACCAGTCTGGCCTTCTCCAGATTTTGCCTACAATTCTTGGTGACATTAGACAACGTTTTATTGAAGATATATCCAAATATCTTTGATAGATTTCAAACACTACAGCCTTACCTAGTTACCTGGATGTTCATAAACCAAGTGAGTCTCTGTTTTGCAAGCTGCCTTTCTGTGTGCCTTTCTTCTGTTCTACTGTGTGAAGATTGCCTCTTTCAACCAATCCCTCTTCAGCTGGTTAAAACTGAAAATCTCCAAACTGGTGCCATGGCTGCTTTTGGGCTCTATGCTGTACTGCTTGGTTACTACAGTTGCTTTTACATTGTTCAGTTATTCCTACTGGGTATTTTCTCACAACTCCACAGATTGTCTATCAACAAATGGTACAATATCAGACAATAAAAATAACCTTTTGGAGTTCACTTTTCAGATACACAGCGTAGGATCTATTTCCCCTCTTATTGTATTTATTGCTTCATCTGTTCTGCTAATCATATCCCTTTGGAGACACATCAGGAAAATGAACCTTAATTCAGACTTTAATCCAAGTTTTTGGAACCCCAGCACGGATGCCCATGTGCGTGCACTTAAATCTGTGGTATCCTTTTTCATCATCTACACTATTTATTATGTAGCTTCAACATTCTCAATAGGAACCCTATCCTATTTCAATGATGAATTGAAAATTATGGTGTGTACATCTGTAGCTGCTGTCTACCCTTCTCTACACTCCATTATCTTGATTCTGGGCAACCCCAAATTAAAACTGGCCTCAGCAAAAATTCGGCATTCTGCCAATTCGTGTTTCGGAGAGATTACTTCATAATATCTACTCCTGTCCTTCCGGATCAAGAATGTTCACTACCTTTGTAAAGCACAGTAGTGAAAAAATATTCTATTTACCCCTTTGTTTCCATATTTTCCAGTCTATTATCCATTTGAAATCTTTCTTATTGCTATAGTACACAAAGCCACTGACACTTCCCAAGGAGATCATTTGCACATTTCCCACCAATTCCCATTCAAACTCTTCCAATGGACATGAGTCCTTTCCTGTAGCAGCACTGCTATCCTTTTAAGAAGAGACTTCTCATTGTATCAGACATTTGATGTGGATATATGACTAAGAAAAACAGTATGAGATCACCAAATTCATTTTCAAATGATAGATTCAGCCAGGATTGAAATTTGGTCTCCACAGGGGAATGACATTCCTGTTTATAAATAAATAAACCAGGCATTTCTAGAAATGAGATCATGTGCAAAGTGCAACACATGCATGGATTCGTCCATGCCTGTCTTGTTAGAGAAAGGACAGTCGTAGGACTGTCTGCCCATTGGAATTTAATAAAGAAGTCCAGTCAATTACAGCTTGCTGTCCCCGAGCATTTAGAACAGTTATCTGGGTGATAAGACTTAATTAGAATCTGGCCCAAAATGACTATAGCTTTCTTCTTTTAATCAGTAACGGTGTCATCATCTGACCTGCAGTGAAAGGCTGCAATGGAAAAACAAGCATGAAATTGTTAGTCTGTCAGATACAGAGAAAACAACTTGAATAATTGAAATAACAGTTGTAGGGGCCACATTTACAAAAGGATACCCTCCTTTTTTGAGAGACTGTTTGTGTCCACAATTCAACTGAGTGCAGAAATCTGCGTACTTGCATCTCTACCTACCTGAGGATACAACTGGCAATTTTTCAGCACTAAACTTCATTCAAAGCAGGAATCTGTGTCTCAGCACTTTGAAATTCACCCTGTCATACTAAAAAGTTTATGCTTGATCCATATATTTTTTCAAAGTTACATAACCATTCAGTTAATTAGACAAATAATCTATTAGTTGCATCTAGCTAGTGAATTGTTTGGTAATTTACTAAGAAGTATGAACATAGAGCATGAATAGTTAAGGTTGATAATACAGTACTGTGATACAATATAGTTAAGGGAATGTACATGTACGTTTATGAGAGTGGAAAGGATTGTTCATGATCATTGCCTGGAAAAAATATTTTTACAAAGGATTTAAATAAAAAAAATAATTATTGTCAGTACTGTGGTTAAGACTTTTTAGACTGTAATTGGAGGAGTTTGCAGGGTAGACTAATACTGAGTCCCACTGGAAAAGGAGAATCCTTTTTTGAAAGGGACCCAGCATTGGCATCTAGCCCTGGAATAACCTGAGACAATGAACATTAGAGATGGTTGAAAAATGGTGACACTGTTTATGAAAATTCTTGAATTAGTGAGTTAAAATTTAAAAAACAAAGAGTCCAGTCTACTAAATATGGTCTTTTCTGGGTTTTGGATGAGGGTAATTTGGGACATGTTTGGAGAACATGTCTGTGTCAACTTATGAATTCCTTTCTGTTTTATGGATACCATTATTGGAATTTTCAGTGGATTAGAGCCTCCATATGGTAGCAAGACTGACTTGGAAATGTGCAGCAAAGCAATCCTGGCCCCTCCCATTGAATAGTTGAAGAATAGTTTTTTTGACAGCAAGGTCTTTGAATAAATTCTCTCTTCACAGAAACCTGTTTGGGGAGATGTGGAATTCTCCATAGACTGAACACTTGATTGGAAGAGCTGTGGTTTCTCCAGTGGACCACCTGACTAAAGAGGGAGAAAGATGGATTTTAAAAGGTGGGCTTCTGTAAGCCACAGGAGCCACCAGGAATGGAAATCCCAACTGAAGGAATGGAGGCAAGAGGGAGGTGGTATACTTCTCGAAGGACGCTGACCAAACCCAATGGACTCTGAGGTGCAATGAGGACTCTAGGGGGGATTGTATTCAGGACTTTGTTTTGCATAGATCTGTAAATCTCCTGTGCTAAGAGTAAAGTGTGTATTTTAAGAAGTTGCTGTGCAAAGCCTGTGTTCCTTACTGTAGTTGCTATGTGTCCCTGAATACTTGAACTACATAGCAACCAGGCCAAGTGGGACTTGGCAGGCGGGAAGAGGAAGGAATATTCATAAACTGCTGGGAAGTCTTTGGAGTGTCAGCATTGGTTTCTGAGGATAGGGCAATTGGACTGTGAAGTCTCACTTCCCACAGAAAGAGGCCAAACAGGGAATCGTCACCTGTAATTGTACCTAAGAGGCCATTACTAGAGACAGTATCTGGACCCATCTAGCTGGAAGCACATGGGATCCAAAAGTTGGGTACAATACAACAGACTGGTGTAAGGAACATGAGCCACAATTCATGTCAGGCCTGGAAACATTGAATTGTTCAGTGCTGAATAAAGTCAGTTTAACAAGAAATGCTAAAACAGTTTTATGTCTTCAGGTTAAAGGGCACAGGGGTTAGCTAAAATCTTGTATCTAGGCTGGGACCCTCAGAGTCATTTCCCTAATGTCTGTCCTATGTAATTGTCATGGTTAATGAGTGTAAATGGGGGAGAGTGTGAATAATTAGCTTACAGTCTTTAATTATATTTCACAAAACAAATGTTGTCTCATGTCCATTGGCCTTAGACAAAAGTCGTTACCGAGTTCTACGACATATGTATGAGACAGTACCTGTCTCTGTTGACCCCAGCAGATTTGTCAAGAAAATGATCATTCCTTACTAGAACTTTTGACAATCACCTAACACAGACATTGCCCACTGCCAAATCACTGGACCACATTGAACTACATCCAACATGCTGGAGCTCCGTAATTAGACTGTGAAAATACAAAGGTGACCCCTGAGGCACAGTAAAGGGAACACTGAACCGTATAAAGGTTGAAAGCAAGCGGAAGACAACCTTATGCTCTCTCTCATGTTCAAATTATATCTGAAGCAAAGTACCCCTCTCTTGTCTGGACAGGCCATCCAGAGGAAAAAGCGGTGAAAGACACTGACCAATTGACTATGACAGCCTGAAGCATCCCCAGCTGGTAGAGCGAGAGATCTGACAGGTCTTAAGCTATGAGTTCAAAAAACTTCTTCCCCCCTCTGGTGCCAGATAAGAACAATCTTGTAAATCAAAGATTACAGAAACAAAGTAGTGAGAATTCTTTTATATGGCTGCTATGATAATTGGGCCTACACATTTCTCCTAAGTGTAAACTCAGCTGTAAATTGTGAGTGAAAGTTCACAAATTGTCACAATGACTTGTTATATATAATTGTTTAAGAACAGATGGAATAAAGAGACAGAGTGAATTAATTTAAACAGAAAGGGTTTTATTGATACCACTCAAGGATTATATTAAGATTATGATAAGTAAACAGAGAAGAAATCAATTAAGCAAAATTGGTGCATTGGAAATTAGGTCTATTGGTGGACAAAATAAAGAGAGGATCATCTATTCTGCCCAAAACTCCCTTTTGGGCTTCTGAAAAAGAAAAGAGTTCTTGGGAAAAAATAGTAGAAGGAGCAGTTGTCTCACAACAACCATTGCACCGAGCTTTGTCATCTTGGCTTCCATCACTACCATCCCTGGGGATAATGGACCTTCTTCATCCTAGACCTGAGCGATATCCTGATCAGACCAGGCTAGGGAGAGGACACAGATGACATTGCTACCTCCATCAGCTTCCAGCTAAATTCTGGATATCTTCCTCCATCTCCCAACCCCATGTGTTCTTTTCCTTCTACACCTTATTTCTTTTCTTTCCTATTTTTCTCCTTTACCTTCTGTTTCATAAGAGTCTGGCATAGCTGGTGAAGACTATGTATTTTGCAACACTGATGTAAACCTGTGACTAGAAAGAGGCAGCTAAAAGCAATGCCCTAAACAGCCGACCTAAAGGAGCAGTTTTTTACCCAACTGCCCCAAACTTCTTTTCAACCCCAAAAGCTTTCTCTCTAGCTTTTCCCTGGATCACACTGTGCGCAGAGCCTACTCCTTGACTTTATTCTTTTTTGCCTCTGTCTGTCTGTCTCTCTGCTTTTGTCTGTTCTCAGCTTCTATATGGTCTCTCAACCCTCCCCTCACTCATGCACACAAACCTGGTCACAATAGCTAGTGGAATCTTCACCCCCCACATGGTGCTAATTTCTGGGCAGATTCTATTAGGCTTTGTTTTTACTACGGGGCCTCTTAAGTTTTTTACAACTAATTTAAGTGACGGGCATGTTCACATATAATTCTGAATCAGGTTTTCACTCAGTCCAAAACAAGGTTTCACCCAATTTATAACAATACCAAATCAACACATCCTGAATTTCTTATAGCAAACCACGGAGCAAATCCATGAAAAATTTGACCAAATAATGAAACAATCAAGAAATATGTATAATCGGTGTGTGGGTATGCAATGGAAAGAAAAAGCTGTAATACATATAATTTATCATGATGAGTTATTCCCTCCAGGCCTAGTCACACAGAGCAGTAAGAGGTAGTCTGGTTCAAGAAGAAAAACACTGGCCTGTTTTTAGTGACATTCTGAAAGTGGCACTATGGTCCTCACAACAAATTTTTTGGTGGCCTCAGCCTGCAACCACCAATTCTTGCTGTTGGCTGCTCTGACAGTGTTTTCTAAAATACTTAATTAGATTAACAAAAAAAAATTAATATGCACATATAGATGTCCAAATCATTGTAATTTATTTGTTTAGGGTTTTTTTGCAGACTCAATAATAAAAATAATGTACAGATATCTCTATTCTTTACTGGATTAAACACAATAGAAACACAAATAAGGTGCTCTGCATGTTTTCCTTTTTTGGTTGATTTTTTTTGTTTGTTTGTTTTAGATTTGCTAGCTAGTAAGTCTGCTACTGTGAAAAGTGATATTTGTATATTTGTTAATATCACTTTTCACAGCACATTTACTCATCCCTGGAAAGCTGGGGGACAAGTTAAACCCTGGATGGGAAGGTCGGTA